AAAGTAATTTTGTTGAGGTTGTTGAATTGGATGAAAAACAAACATCATTGGTGGGTTGAATGCCTGTATTAGATGGGGAATGCCAGGCAAATGGAGGTTGGATATTACTATAATTATTAGAATACTTGGTTTGATTTAAGAGAAAAAAGATAGGAAAAACTATTATTTGTGGCGAGGTTTCGTAAAGATAAGGAGGACACATCAAACCTTATTTTAATATCTACCATTCATAAAAAATTATCAAAAATTATTAAAAAATTATCTGGATTTATCTTAGTCAGGATGCTTATGTATTTAAATCAGGCTTGCTCATGGATACGAATAATATCGATACGCGCGGATATATCCGGATACGGATAGCAAAATCTGTATCCATGAGCAAGCCTGATTTAAAGAGTACAAAAATTTTTCTTAAATTATAAAATTTACCCGTAAAGAGAATTTCCAAAAACATAACTAGAAAGAGCAGAAGAAGAAAATTCAGATTCACTAACAGGAGAAATAGGAACAGTTCCTCCCCCTCCAGTTGCTGTTATTATTCCACTGGAATAAGGTGAAGGAGTACTTGGAACTGGCTGTAAAAATGTTTGAGATGGAGAACCGGAAGAGGAAGTTGCTTGGGAAGAATCGGAAGCTGAGGAAACATTTCGTCCACGTTGTTTGGAAATTGGGGAATTAGGCTGGACAGGACCTGTTGTTCCACTCCATTGGCTACTCATTGATTGTGGGTGGTTGCTAATTGGTACAGAAACTGACAAAAAATAATTTTAAAAATTTATTTTGATTCTCTAATCACTTGTAGTATTAGAAGAAGAATCAACATGTCCTTGAATTGGAATAGAATGATCTCCCCCTTGTTGTTGTTGGGATGTTGAGGTACTAGCTTCATCACCTTGATTTGAGTCATTTCCCATTGACATTTCTTTTAGATCAAGATCTTCAAAAATAAATTAATTTAAAATAAAAGAAATAAACTAAAAAATATTTAGAACCTCCCCAACCTTCAAGCATTAATTCCTCCATTAATTGGTCTAATCTAGCAATTCCTGTTATTTTGCTGACCAAAACATCTTCTGACACTGCTTTTGCTAATGACTATATAAAATGAAATTTTGATAAAAGAATAAAATACTAAACCAAATCTTAGTAAAATATCCCCCAAATTAGTATACTTCTTTAAGATATCCCTCATTTTTAAATGAAAGTAATCCCAAGGGTGTTTGTGTGTTTAAAATCAAGGTCATAAGTTGAGTGAAATTCAGTGTTATTATGAAAATTTACTCGGTACACCTCAACTGAGTCCCGGACCTTATAACTTATGAAGGGATGGTCACTTTTTTTGTTCTTGGTACAATTGGATAGGGCATTAAGTAGGCTACACCCTTATAAATTAATATCTACTAAAATCACCTGTAAAGGAGACAAAACAAAAAAAGTTAAATCCCCAATTCTATCTTCATCATTAGGTGCCTTTGCTCGAACATAATTTTGAAGAGCTCTGAAGATGTGTCTTCTTGTTTGTAAAATACTCATAACACTATTAGATGAAAGACCACGAGCTACAGGATTAAAAAGAATACAAGCTTTAAGTGCCACAAATTCAACATCATCCATTCTAAGAAAGCGCATTGGAGAAACTAACATATCCATTACACGTTCAGCATCTCTTCGATAAAAAAGACTAAAAAATAAAAAAAAATAATCTGTACATTCTTGTAATTAATCAAAAGAAAGTCTAGCTTTATATTTAATGCATGGCTAAATTTTTATAAAAAATACATAGTATGTACTTTTACTTAATTTTAAAAGAACAAAAATGACATCAGTCGGCTTCACACTGTAATAATTAGGATTGTCGGTTCCTGGAAATTCTTAAGATATCCGAAACCGAACCGAAAAATCCTCGGTTCTTCGGTTCGGTTCGGCCCAGAACCGATAACCCTAGTAATACCTTCCAATACACGTAGAAAGATCTTTTTCATATATGCTTGTTTTAATTTGGTTGACGTACTGAATTTTCTAAAAATCCCGTGTGCTGTCCTTAGCTCCGGAGGCGGAGCTAAGCTTATGAAAACCCTGGAACCAAGGCCAAAATTTATAAATCCCCGAAGCCGGAGCCAAAATTTGAAAAAGGTCGGAGCCAGAGTCAACAAACGTCCAATATCCAGCACGGCTGATGCCCCCTCCCTATTAGGATAAACCTAATTATAAGATACAATCTTTCAACCTCAAGAGGATATCTTATTACGAGATCAGACAATTTTTAAATAAAAAACTCACTCCTTTTCAGCTCCATTAACTATACGCGGAATGCAAGAATCATTTATTAATTTTAAAAAATCAGTTGTAGAACGATAAGCAACACACAAAACAACATGTTGCGCAGCAAAATTTTTAAGTAAAGCAGTCTTTAATTTTTAAAAATTGAAAAAAATTTAAAAATCATTTAGTTTTACTTGATCTTCTGTAGGTAAATCAGCAAAAGGTTTTAACGTCTTTGCCCATTCTTTAAAAAAATTTTTTGTTGTAAAAATTTATTTACTTAATTTACCGATAACTAAAAGTAATTGTGTGTGCAAAGACTGCAAAATATCATTTTCACTAGCTTTTCTTGTGTTTCCATCCCCAGTAAATGGAAATCGAGACTAAAATTATAAAAAAATAAATTTAAATATTTTTATTAATTTGCTCTTAATTTTGGCCAAAAGGAGGGGCAACAAGTAGTGATATGTATAAATATTATTAGCATGATCCCTTACATTCATAAAAATATAAGGCTATCTAATCCTGTAACAAGGTTCCAATTCGTCCCCGTAAAGTTTCATTATAACAAAATAGTTTTTGATGGGACGGTTCTCAAATAAAAAGATAATCTTCACTAAATTATCAATTCCAAATAGTCTTATAGAGAAAATTATTTCCCCCCAAAAAAATTACCCCTCTAGTCGAATATTGAAGAGTACAAGCATGAGCAACAACAGTATCTCGCATATTACTAATTTTTTCCTCCGAACAAAGCAAATGTCGTAATAAAGCCCTTCCATTCTGTCCACTCCAAGGGTCAGCTTCATTAATTGAGTTTAATTCAGGTTGTGTTTGGTTTTGATGTTGTTGCTGTTCTGTTGTTGTTGTTAATAGTTGATGAGGTATTGTATGGCTGTTGGTAGTGAAATTTCTGCAAAAAAATATTTAAAAACTGACTCAAGGAAATTTAAATCGACCCAAAATTTGAGTTAACCCCCCCCCCTGTTTCATAAAAAGCGATAACATTCGTAATTGGAAGCCTTTTTTCGGAAAAATGATAAAAAAGTACAGAGACCCTAATATTAACAAATCCCTAAAAATTTAAATTCACCTTCTAGCAGGTTTAAGCTGTTCATAGTGATTACCACTAGATAAAGATCTTTTTCTAGATACATGTTCATCTATGTCCACTTCACAAAGTTGGGAAGTATCTGTTTGGGTTGTTGGAATATTTGAACGATTAATTCCACTATTTTGTTGTTGCGAGGAGACTGACAAAATATTTTGTGTTTGAGGTTGTTGTGCAACTTAAAAGGTTTTAAATGAGATGAAGCTCATTAATAAATGGAAATTACAGTTAGGCCAAGGTAACGCCGAGCTATAACTTTCTTCAAGATTGTCGAATCCGGGATGCCCTGGTATGGTTCAATTCAGCTCGTCGAGGCGCATCAAACCATACCAGGGCGTCCCGGATTCGAAAATTTTAGACAAAGTTATAGCTCGGCGGTACCTTGGACTTGTGGTACCTTGGGGTGTACCCCAATTTTCGAAAGGAAAAGGCAAAATTATGTGACAGTATAAAATACTGTCTTTCCAAGCTTTTATCTTCTACCCACCTTGCTGTGTTTGTTGATGTAATTGTTCATCTTTCGAAATAGGTGAAAGTTGTCCCTCTTCTTCCAAACTTTGTTGGTGTTGGAGGGGCGGGGAAGAGGTGCTTGGAATGGGCCCAGGAGTACCTGAAGCAGAGGAATAACGAGAACGTTTCCCAATTAAGTCCCTTTCACTTTGAACAGCTTAAAAAGAGAAAAACTTTTTTTAAGCAAAACAATAACGAATTACCGTCAACTTTCATTCCAAACATAATACAACGTGAATATCGACAAGCTCGACAAACGGCACGATTATCTAAAGGGATTAAAAATAATCTTAGTTTATGTATTTTATTAATATTTTAAAAACTAAAAATAAAATTTTGGAAACAAAATTATAATTAAAAGTAAATGTCGCAATATTATGAATTGAAGTTAAACAAGTAAAATGACCTAATATGAATTTTTAAATTAATTTTAGACCAGAAAAAAATGTTTATTTATTTTTTGACAACATTTAGATTATCAAGGTTCAGATTATTTCACAAGTTATCAAAGTAAGTCTGGAGTTATTAATGGAAATTTGGCCTTTCGACAGCTTAATTGAAAATAGATAACATTAAAAATGTCGAGCTTTCAAATATTTCTTTTTCAGTCCAAAAATAAAATTAAATTAAAAAAGCAAACTCACGTTTATCAATTTGGCAATTAGAATTAAAACGGCAAGTATATTTATAATTCCTTCTAATTGTCCGACGAAAGAATCCTTTACACCCATTACAAGCAACAGATCCATAATGTCTCCCCGTCGCTACATCCCCACAAACTGTACAAGTTAAGGAATTACTTTTTTCTGTTGGGGGATTTGAAGAAAGATTATTAACAAAATTAGAAGTTGATTGTTGCTGTTTATGTTGGTGTTGCTGATTTTGAGACATATTATTTTGGTCAGAAAGGCAAGTAGTTGTTGTTGGTGAAGGTTGAATAATATTACTACTATTATCAACAATTTCTTCATTAGTTGAAAGAATGTCACATGGATGAGGAAGGGGAGGAGGAGGAGGAATACTTTGTACTTTAAAAAATTAGAAAAAATGATTTAAATGTGTGATTTTTTAGAAATTCAAAATATTATGTTTCAAAATATATGTATGTATTTTGGTGATGCGACTTTTGCGGCGCGTACACTTGCGGCTCAGACATTTGCGGCCCAGACACTTGCGGCTCGCCCCTATTTTGACACTTGCGGTCCCGACACTTGCGGCTAAGAAATTTTCGGCGCAGACATTTGCGGCTATCAACTTGAGGCCCAGACACTTGCGGCCCAGACTATTGCGGTTTTGCCATTTGAGGCTCCCCCCTATTGTGACACTTGCGGCCCGACATTTGCGGCCTCGACATTTGCGGCCTCGACATTTGCGGCCCTGACATTTGCGGCGATATTTAAAAATTAAGTAAATTAAAATGAAAAAATACTAATTTATCGTTTAATAAAATAAGTTTATTCTCCAAGTTTATTCTCCTTGGCATCATAATCCGGAAAATCCGGAAATCCGAATTTTTTAGGGCGCTGGTCTAGTTTATGCGTCCAATGAACTTTTATGCGTCCAATGAAACTTTATGAGTCCAATCAAAAAATAATTGGATTCTTCTTAGTATTGCAAAGTTGGTGTTGGTTCCAAAGCATTTTTTCATGTTCGGGACGTACGCCCACTGGTCTGGCGCCTTTTTTAAACCAGGCGCCTTTTTTAAACCAGCCCCCAGCGCCTTTTTTAAACCAGGATCCGGACCAGAGATAACCTAAATTTCGTTTCATTTCGTTTCGCTATTTCGTGCCCTTTTATCCATTTCGTTTCGTTTCGGAGCGAAATAATTTACTCAATTTTTAATTTACTTAATTTTTAAATATCGCCGCAAATGTCGAGGCCGCAAATGTCGAGGCCGCAAATGTCGGGCCGCAAGTGTCACAATAGGGGGGAGCCTCAAATGGCAAAACCGCAATAGTCTGGGCCGCAAGTGTCTGGGCCTCAAGTTGATAGCCGCAAATGTCTGCGCCGAAAATTTCTTAGCCGCAAGTGTCGGGACCGCAAGTGTCAAAATAGGGGCGAGCCGCAAGTGTCTGGGCCGCAAATGTCTGAGCCGCAAGTGTACGCGCCGCAAAAGTCGGCTAATCTGTATTTTCACATAAACTAAACAGAAATTTTTTTTAAATAATTCAACAATTTGGGTTTATTTTCTGACCGCGCAAACAAAAAAGCCTTATGTATTATTAGCTAAGAAAAAACAAGGAAACCGGAGAAAAAACTGTTAAAAAAGAAATTTAAAAAGAAGAATGTCAACGGAAGAAAAATCATGGAGTGATATTTAATGGGTGATATTTAAAGGGAAAGTTAAAAATTCGGCCCCCAATCTGGGATGGGTCAGGTTGAGAAAAAAGTCGGGTCGGGTTTTCAAAATTTTATCCGGATCGGGTTACGGATAAACCAGCCCATCTCCAGCCCCAATGCCATAAAGATCTGATAGATATAGGTATATACATATTAGTTTCCCTCTTCCCTTGAAAGGAGTTGAAAATCAACCAAGATAAAATCTTTTTTGGAAAAATTTGTTGTAAAAAAATCCCTACATTGGGCAACATTTTGTCCTCCAATAAACGTCATTTGATTCATTTGACAATTATAAATTTGTCCAGAATTATTTGTCGCTATTAAATTATTATTTGAAGCTGTTCCACAATAAAGTCCAATTTCTTCAATTTTTGGACAGACTAATTGTGAAGGTGTTCTTTTACGTTTTTGTTGTTCTTCTACCATGTATTTATTGTTGAAAAAGGAATTTTGTTTTAAATAAATTAAGTAAAAATAAAATGTTATTTTTAATCTAAAGAGAGTTAATTTTAATTTATTTTGTTTTAAACATTTTAATTAAAGTTGATAATAAAAAAAATTAGAAAAATTATTTTGTGTTAATTTCTTCAATTTTTGGACAGACTATGGGTGATGGAAAGAAAATTTTTGAGAGAAAATAACCTCAAAATATAAAACTAAAATTCAATAGAAAATTAGTATAGTAAATAAAATATAAATATTCAATGAAAAAATAAATGAGATAATTAAATAAAAGTGATAAAATCACAGACAAAATATTGAGAAAAAAACTATGGGTGGCCGGCTCTATTTTTCAATTCTTATTTCTTTGATATAACATGAAAACAAATTACCCGAGTGATAAATACTTTTTGGGAAGTTTGGCAGAATATAAAAAAAGTTAAGAGAAGATATAAAAAGCTAAATAAGGTCCCAAAAAATAGCCTAGGTCCCCAAATCTAAAAATATTAGGTAACCCAGAAATTTACAAACTTTTTTTTCCTATCGTATTTACTCGATTAATTTCCCTCCCTTGAACACTTCCCCTTCTCAAATAATTCCCCCTGCTAGTTGAAACAATAATCTCCCTCCCTCAAATACCCTACTACACCTTCAAATTTCAAAACTCGAATAATTCCCCAGAAGAATTAATCGAGTAAATACGGTAATCTTTTTTAAGCCATTATAAGCAACCTTCAAGCATTAATAAAATTTAAATTAAAAAACAAATTAAAAAAAAGGTTCAAAGTATTTTCAAAAAATATAAAAATAATATTTTTACTTTTAAAAAAATTAAAAGTATATTTATTTATTTAAATGACTAATAAATAGAAAAAAAGAATAATTTTTTTTTAAATTTTTTGTTAAAAGACAGGTGTTTTAGTTACAAATTTTTAACATACAAAATGGAAATTATTTAAAAGAAGAAATGTAAAAATAGTGCCATTTACGTAATAAATAGAAATATAATTTTTAAAAAAATTAAAAAGGCATTAAATAAATTTAAGTAAAAATAAAAGTACTTTAAAAAATATTTTATGGGAAAATAATAAAGGTGATGGGAAAATAAAATATAAAGATTTTAAAATAAAATTAATAGACATTTAATATGACGTAATTTTGATAGTTTGTTGCCCTTAGAATTATGAAAATCTCTTTTCTTAATTAATTAAATATTCCAAGAATTTCAGAATTTTGGAATCTGTGATTGTTAAAATTTAAAGGAAATATCGCCTTTGAAATTTCATTTTCAATTGTAGTTTTTAAAAAAAATTATTGGCAGGGCCATAATTAGTGTCGCTTTTAGATTAAATTTTAGAGGTGAATAAAAATAAAACATATTTTCAAAAAAACTTAATTTTAAGAATTAAATTTAAAAAACAACACTAATTATGACCCGACCTAATACATAGTAATTAAGTAAAAGTTTTATTATCCAAATAATTTTAAAAAGCATAAATACTAACTTCAATTTTCCTCAAAAAATACCAAAAATAATTCCAAATTTATCTACAATTTTAAATAAAAAAATTTTTCTGGTATTTCACTCGTGTTCAAAAGTCCGACATATTATTTATTTTTCAATTATTAATTTAATTTTAATATTTTTTAACAAATTAAAAGCTGCTAAAATTTAAAATTAAAAAAAGAAAGCATTTACTAATATTTTTATTTAAATAATTTTTTTATTGATCCGCAAATTAACATCCGCAAATTTGCACAATATTTTAATATTTGGAGTGAAAAAAAAGAAGGAAATAAAAAAATATTTATTTAAGTAAATGAGGGAGGGAAGGGAATATTTTGGCGTAGGGAAGTAGTTGGCGCATATAAATTAAAATCGTCAAATGAAAAATTTAAATTAAATTTTGTTAAAAAAATAACAATTTAAATTAATTTATTACGTAAATTAATACACGCTCAATACGCGTTTCGGTTGGATATTAAGACAATTATTTTATAAAATTATTTTTTTTTGAGAAAAATAAAATAGTTTTCGGTAGATTTTTAAAAGATTTTTAAAAGCAAAATTTAAGTCAACTTTTTTAAAAAAAAATTTGTACGATTTTAGGTCCTCCCAGGACTTCGCGAAATTTTTTGTTTCGTTTTGCATTTCATGCCCTTTCTTCATTTCGTTTGGCTTCGAAACTTCGAAAAAAAAAAAAATTTTTTTTTCTATTTCGATTCAGTTCACAAACATTTCCGCGCCAAAACTATAAATAATAAAAAGTTGGAAATAATAATTGCTTTTTTGTATAGCCAGCTGTAAGCTCGTTTTTAGCTTGTTTTGTACTGCCTGACACACTCTTAAAAAAATTTTTTTATCTTTTGAGAAACTTTAGAGGATTACACTAAAAATGTATATATATGTGAGTGTGTGTGAGCAATGTGAAAGAGAAAAAAATAATGAGAAAAGGATAAAATTGGCAAAGAAAAATATTTTTTTAGAAAAGTACATGTGCTAAATAGATGTAAATACACATGCTTTTTATTTTACAGTAAAAATAAAAATTAATTTGTAAATATGTATTTGGCTCTAATGAAGTAAACATAAACAAAAATAAAAAAGAAATTTTGTTTAAAAGTAAAATAATTATTGGGATAAATTAAAATTTAATATATAAAATTTGGCACTATCCGAAAGGAATGCTGGCATCCAATTTTTCCTTTCTTCCTCGAATGGGAAAGGAAAAGTTAATTTGATTTTTAACAAGAGTAAAATGGAGCAAAGAAGTTAAGTTTTTCAACTGTTGTGAGTGGTCCACTAACCCCTCAAATGAGTTATGCAGTTCTAGGATCAACCGAAAATTTCGGATATCCGAATCCGATATACTAAGTATGTGTAAATAAATAGATTGAGGATGATTTAAACCAGACATGGTCATGGATACGGATACGAATACAGATATTGTAAAAATGCCTGCGGATATCCGTCTGTATCCGCCGTAAATATCCGGATACGGATACCAAAATTAGTATCCGTGTCCTAGTCTGATCTAAACAAAAATTCAAAGTCAATTTATTTTTCCATTTATCTTCAAAAAAAGACTAAAAAATTAGAAAAAAAACAAAAAATATTTTCATTTTAAAAATTATCCAAACAAACTTTTAAATAAATAAAAATATATTCTAAGAAACTAAAAAGAGAGAAAAGTGCGCAGATTAAAATAATTTTAAATGCCCAATTACAGGAAATATAAAACAAATAAATAATAATTAATCATTAAATAAAGTGAATAATAAATAAGAATTCTAAGAAAGGAAAAGAAGAAGAGGAGAGAGATCATTATCAAAAATTTTAAAAATTATTAGAAATAAAAAAAAATTTAATTTAAAATAATAATAAAAAATTAAAGCAGCAAAAAAATAATCAAATATTAATTAGAGTTTAGAGGAAGAGGAGCAAAATTAGAAGTGATCAATAAATAAAATAATTTAATGGTTTTTTCTTCCGGTCTGGATCTGGATCCAGTCTGGATTTTTCCTGGATCCAGATCCAGGATTCTTCGGTCTGGATCTGGATCCAGTCTGGATTTTTCCTGGATCCAGATCCAGGATTTTTGATC